GGTCAGTAACAGAGAGGAGGAGGCAAGCGGCCGGAGTGGGGCTGGGGGGTGTGGCCTGTCCCTGGCGCTGGCGGTGGTGGTTCTGGTTGAGTGCCAGGACCTGGTTGGTGGCAGAGTAGGGGTGTTGGGTATGGAGACTCGGCTGGGCGGGCAGAGGGTGCCCTACCTCCCCACTCCCCACTCAGCTCTGCTCATCCCCACCTGGCCTCCCTTGGCCCCACTCGCCACATCCTGAATAGCGGGAGCCCCCGCCCGAGGGTCCGCGCTTCTGGCGGGAGGAGGAGGGGCGCGCATGCGCGGACGCACAGACGTGCGGACGTGGGACCCACCCAGAGTTTGTGCAAGCCTGGCGGGAGTCGGGCGCCCCTGGGACCAGCTCCCAAGGAAGAAGGCGGCCTGGGGACTTGGCCGCCGCTTGCCTTCACCCCCGCTGCCACTGTGGGGCAGGTAAGGGGGCGCTGGTGGGGGCGCGCAGGTCCGGGAGCCGGCGGGTGGGGCCTGGGCTGCGCAGTTGGGGAGGCGCACAGGGAGGGGTGCGTGAGTGAGGCCCAGGCCGCGCCGCCCATTAGGACCCTGAGGGCAGTACGGACCGCCGCCGTGGTTCGTGGTGCCCTCTGCCCCCATTAGTAGTCTCTGAACCCCCACCCCTTTGCTGCCGCTTGTACCCGGGTTTGGGAGAGCAGGCCAACCCCGGGAGGTGGTAGGGCGCTGGACGGCCCTGGAGCCCCTCCGACCGGCCCTCTGGCCGTGGCCTGTTTCCGGGAGGCGGATGTGGTGCGTTCGCGGGGCCGCGGTTGGGTGAGGCTGCCCCATGAGAGACCCTGTATTTGTTCCCTATTCCCCCGCGGCCTGGGGCGACCTGTGCTTCGCCATGTTCGCGGGAGGCACCTCTCGTGGTCACTGCTCCTGGGAGGCGACGTGGTGCTATGAGGGTGCAGGGGCGGTGGCATCGGTGACAGCGGCAAGGGAGGGAGGTCTGCCCCTTGTATCTTGTTGATTTGCTCCCATCTTACCCGCGTTGTGTCCTGGGGGCGGCCTCTGCTGCCCCTAGGTTTGCGGGACCCAGGTTACAGGTCAGTCTGGTCCTGAGAGGTGGTCGCGGTGCAGTCAGTGTGCAGGCATGGCGGCAGCCACAGACGTAAATGGGAGCAAACCCCTGCGCTCGCACAAGGCAGCCCAATGCCGCAGCCGCCGCCTCCGCCCTCGACTACCCCTGACAGCACAGCGCCGGCCTTCCAGGAGCAGGCTGCCCTGTAACCCGAGTCCTGCGAACCTGGGGCAGCAGACAGAGGTGGAGGCCAGGACAGGCCGCAGGGGAGTTTGAAGCAAATCCACAGGCTCGCATAGGCAGACCCCTAAACGCATCTCTGCCGCCGCTGCCAGCCCTCCTCGCAGGAGCAGGCGGACCTGGGGACGTGCTTGGGGCAGCAGAGGCCGCCACCCCCCACCGGCCCTGTCGCGGGGGAGATGGGGGCAAATCAAACAGTCTCCATGGGCAGCTTCCCTGTCCCGCCGCTGCCCCAGGTTCGCAGGACACTTGATCCCAGGTCAGTGGGCTCCGGGGAGGCAGGGGCAGTGAGGTTAGAGGGCGGCGACGGGGAGCGGTGCTGTCCTCCTCCAGCAGGTGACTTGTTCCCACCTTTCCCGGGGCCTGTCCTGGGGGCGGCCTCTGCGACCACAGGTTCGCAGGGTGCTTGTCTTCATGTCAGCCTTCTCCTGGGAGGAGGGTGCAGTGCAGTCAGGAGTCAGGGGGCAGCGTCAGCGTTGGGCAAGGACTGTCTGAGGACCCGGCTGTAGCCCAGGATAACTAATT